TTGTGCCTTTGCGTCCGTGGTTGGAAGACACTAAGACGGACTTATTAAAAATGTCATCTTGAATTTTTATTGTTCTATTTCTTTTTTTATATCAAGAATCAGATAATACGGAGAGTTTGCACCGTTTGGCCTGCTATAAAGACTACTCCATTGCATTAGGCTTCTTAAAGCCAGATCAGACATTAAAACTTTGGTTAGTACTGTGATGGGAGACCACTCGGAATGCCAGCTGTGGAACATGTGTGTAATAATAAAATTGTGTACAATGCTTTAGCCACATAGGAAGCGGATGTGGCAAACATATGAATACAAACTGCTCTGACCTGTTATGAACACATGATTTGGGAAAACCGCTCAGTAATCAGTTTCACTTTCCTCCTACGTCTGATCAAGTGTTGGTGTGCTTATCTCATGGCAGATTACTTAGAACTTACTACTGACCAGTCGTGAGTTGCCAATACCAGGTAAGAAATTAATGAATGGCTCCTCACAGCAGCAGTAGAATGCTCCATTGATTTGAATGTAATTTCAAAACGTTCTACCGGTCATTATTTTCTATAACGGACCTCTCAAAACAATAATGACCGCTGCCCATGGCAACGCACTCTCTGCTTGTCTTTCAAATGCGTGGATAACTCCGCAAGTAGTTCCGGCCACTCCGGAGCTAGCCACGCTCAATCAACACACTTAAATGTTAATCGGAGAATACTTATACATATACATTCTTCACACACGTGCACGGAAATTTTCAGAATTTTCTGAGTCCGCTTTGCCCTGTCGGTACTTATTTTCCGATAATGACCTGCGTAATATACATTATCCCTTACATATTATAAGGCAACGTATCAACTGTATCATTATTATTATATGAATGTAACACTGGGGCTTGTTGTGTCAGACCCAGCCTGTGATGTTGTTTCTGTTTTAAATGCCTGGTATCAAGCCCCTATTTGCTGAATCCACAAGGGATCTCTTGGTGAAACCTGATGTCCGTGACTTAATGCCCTTAAATCTACTTACTCCCCCAAATCCCCCTCCACACGGGCCGGTGAGGGGGCAAAAGCCTGGATGTGATGTCTCTCAGGACCAATTCCCACATTATACAATCTGACAACAACGACATAGGCTAAAACAGACCAGGATGAAATGGCAAAAGTCAAACCCTCCAAGTGCTTCACCTCAAACACATTCTTAAGCTTGATACAGAGGCTGGTATAAAGATTAGACTCAACTTTTGAATGCTTTTTGGACTAATGATATATGAAATGAATTATGTGCTCCATTGTCCTTAAGGCCAAGACATGGTACACAGGCTACAAGTTACAAGTGTATAATGAAAAAGAACAAGATTAAGAGATCCTTTATTGGTCCCACAGAGGGGAAATTTCATTAGTACATTTGATTAATAAAATATTTGTAACAGAATTCAGCCCACAATGATTTTTTACATACTTTAATTAAGGTACATTACAGTCTATTTGGCACTCAGATTACTGCCCAATTTAAGCCTGTGTTGGCCCATATGTTTACGCTCATATTTACATAACAACGGCAAGTCAGTCTAAAATCTCGCTTAGGCCAGTGTTCTTTTGTCAGATCTACTGTTTTGTATGTCTCAACTGAGCTTAAGCTGATACAATATTCAATTCTCAACCTTATACCAAATTAATTCTGAACCAGCAATCTCGTCCACCATTCTTCCTGCAATTAATTAATTATAAAAGATTATTTCTAAAGGTGAGAACAACAGCATATACTTGAGTCATTGTGGCGTAGCAATGGCAAACTTGCACTCGCTCCCACCGCAGTATCCTATGCGCCGAATTAAGTACCCTGGCTCCCACACAATTGACATCAACATTCAAATAAAAAATAATAATAATTCGACATATTTACGACATGCTTTTTGGGGCGCGTTTGAGATTATTCCCATTGCAATCCAGAAGGAAGATGACCGTTTATCTGCTAAGGAGCAGATAAATGTGTGACTTACCAAATAAAATGACCCAGTGCAGGCCCTCCATGGCTGCTGCAGTGTTCGGAGTGTACGGTCCGGGGGCAGTTCGCGGAGGCTCGTGCAGGAGTGAAGAGGACGGTCAGCAGAGATACGTGAAGTCGGTGTGTGGAGTCAGGGCGCAGAGGAGGGCATGTTGGTGGTAAGGAGCAGGAGCTGTGGTCACCACCGAGGAAGGCTCAACACATGCGCACACAACGGAGGAGAGCGGAAAAGGGCGTAGTGACACGGAGCGGCCACTGTGAGGAGCTGTTGTATTGGTTGTGTAGTGTATTTTGCATTTAAAAAATGAGGCTTTGAAACTTTCATGTTTTAGAAATGTGAAATTACACCTTTGTACAGTGTTGTGCTTTTGAGGTTGTTTCTTCTTTCGTGTATGTGCATGTGTATTTGTGTGTGTGCGTGTGTGCGCGTGCGTGTGCGTGTGTGTGTGTGCAAGCGGCGATGAACGGCCCTTGCCAGACCGATACAGAAGGTGGCACGAACGAACCCTCTTCGTATGTATTTCAGCCCCCTGTTGGTTGTGAGGCGCTATCGCAACCCTTGGTTTTACTTAGGTATATAGGAGGATTTTCCAAAATTTTAGGAAAGAACTGCCCCCTCCACTTTTTGAACAAGAAACCTCTGGTCTTACTTGACGAGCAAGTATCACCAGAATGATTGACAATTAGGAGGACCAATAGTCTTGATGATCCACCCAGAAGTAGAAAATCCTCCTACAGTATGTACCTTTAAAGGAGCCATGTGCAAGAACTGTATGTCAAGTCATCATTAAAGTGATAGTCTGGAACTCTAAATTAATTACAAACTTTAAGAATTGTATTAAATTGACCTCCTCGCCTTAAATGTTGATATGAAAGTCATTTTATGAATTCTACTATTACGGGTAATATTGCCTTCCCTTCATGAAAAAACTGAACAAAGAATTCTTTATTATTATTATTATTTTAACATTCTATTTATTGGGTTTTCACAAATGTATACAGTTTGGTAGCCTGGCCTTAGCCATCCTTACACTCCGCTCAATCATCATTTCACTGCATGTAACGTCTGGGTCTGGTGTCCCTGTGTTAGCGATTACAATCGGTTGAATTTCGACTGACCAACCAGCAAGCGCGGAAGGAGAGTGTTGTATTAATTTGTGGGTGACGTCAAGAGTTTGCGTCGAATGGGAGGGTTGTACTTTGGCAATGGTGAAAAATGCGATAGTAAAGTAATCCGCTCTGGTCCTATCAAGAAATTGAAGCCGTAGCAATAGGAATGTTTAGCAAATGTAATCGCTAGAAGAAATTGTGGCGCTACTCCCCACGGGCTTCGTTAGCAGCAAAGGAGATGGCTAGGCTAGATGCTAAATGCTAACAACAGACTCGGGCGCACTGCATACGTCACGGTAAACTCAGATCCAATCGTTTCAATCTGCAAAAGGAGTTAACCCCTCCCACCTGTAAACGGAGCTGAATGGAGCACTCCAGACCTTAGTACGAAATGTCATTTGTCCTATGGTGTGGTACGACCAGGCTAACAGTTTGGCAATCCAACAGGAAAACTTATTTTATTTATTTATCGACATTTTATTGGAGGATTAACCCCATGAGATGTATCATCTCAAATAAAAAAAAATAGTTATAACAACAACAAAAATAATTAAAGCCGCAAGCGGCATCTAATGGCCCTCGCCGCACCGCGCAAAGGAGGTGGCGCTGACGCGCCATTTTCCCACTGCCCTGACGGGAGCGACACTGTGAATTTTGAATTCCTATGATCAGTGATCGTGTGTCTCTATTGAAAAGGTAAACCCCAGTCTCTCAATATAACACTTGTATCACTCTGTAGGGGGCGCTATTGCTGCAATTTTGTCTTTTACACTTTCAGTTCACCCAAACCCGAGAGTTGAACAATCAATTCAAATTTTCTGCAAATCGTACGTTGTATGTGCAAACAGAAGGCATTTATGTTGTACAACAGCACCCCCTACAATTTTTTTTTTTTAGTGTTTAGTAAGAAAACCAAAATAATACACTTTATGCCTGAAAAAAACTTGTGGCAAAGTTTAGTGAGTTTTCGTGTTTGTTCAGTGGGTCAAATATGAGATCAAACAACATAAAACCTACATACCTGTATCCCCATGTAAACCTTTACTCAACCTGTAGGGGGCGATAATGGGCCAATATCATTGTTCACAATGTCATGTGACCTAGGCCCAGTAGTTGAACAACGGAGTCAAGTTTAGTGCAAATCAGAGTTTGTAAATGTGCTCCTGTTTGTTCCATAGACTGTATATATTAATGGACAGAGTCACGCCTATCTCTGCCGTTCTAACTAATGGGCCAAAAAATGTGCTCTACTGGAGCAATCCAAAATGGCCGCGAGTGGTCCCGCCCACAAGAAAATTGTGAAAAAACGCATCTGCACATGCGTCAGCCGGCGCAACTCCATTCATTTGAACGAGAGACTTAAAAAATTCACAGCAAGTAAACTAGAGTGGACCAAAAAAATCCACCCCCCTCAGCATTGACACACATGTGGAACGGGGCTTTGGGCCAAGAGCCAACTTTTGGTCCATCCTGTAAAGACGTTTTTGAGAGGTCTGCCAATGCTATATGTTAGCATTGGCTAATTCTACTTCTGGGTCCACCCCCATCGACCCGGGGTGGTATTGCAAGCATGTCAGCGCACGTCATTTTGGCCACTTTTGAGCCGGGACCCTCCCCCACTGGTTTGTTCATATCTGTGAGTGTGTCCACACAGTCTCCATTGGATAACATGGGAACTTCACACCTCTTGTGAGATTTCATAACACTTTTAAGCAACTTTTGTTAAAGTTAAACTCATCATTCTATCAATGTGCAGAAGCCTGTACTTTTCCACTTCATGTTTTGACTATCTCTGCTGGCACCGTGGAAGCTGCTGATTGGAGGTCTCCATGTATGGAGGACCAAAAATGACTATTATTAATCAAATTGTAAGTTTTTTCCTTCAGTTTGGGTCAGATATATACGTCCTCGGTGAGTCTGGTTTGGTCGGTCCTCTGTGAGACTGGTTTGGTCGGTCCTCGGTGAGTCTGGTTTGATCGGTCCTCTGTGAGTCTGGTTTGGTCGGTCCTCGGTGAGTCTGGTTTGGTCGGTCCTCGGTGAGTCTGGTTTGGTCGGTCCTCGGTGAGTCTGGTTTGGTCGGTCCTCGGTGAGTCTGGTTTGGTCGGTCCTCTGTGAGTCTGGTTTGGTCGGTCCTCGGTGAGTCTGGTTTGGCCGGTCTCCCACAGACCCGCGGAGTCTGGTCCCATCTTCTCACAGAAAACAACAGCTGCTGTGTGTGTCTTGTGTGTGTGTGTGTGTGTGTGTGTGTGTGTGTGTGTGTGTGTGTGTGTGTGTGTGTCTGTGTGTGTGTGTGACTGGCCCCATATGCCGGGCCTCACCTGGAGGCGGCCGCGGATTATCAGCGACAAGCTTTTATTAAACCTGGATCTGATTATGCTCACGACACAAACAGCCTCTCTGGACCCTCCCTGGTCTCTCTCTCTGGTCTCTCTCTCTGGTCTCTCTCTGGTCTCTCTCTCTGGTCTCTCTCTGGTCTCTCTCTCTGGTCTCTCTCTGGTCTCTCTCTCTGGTCTCTCTCTCTGGTCTCTGGTCTCACTCTGGTCTCACTCTGGTCTCTCTCTGGTCTCTCTCTGGTCTCTCTCTCTGGTCTCTCTCTCTGGTCTCTCTCTGGTCTCTGGTCTCTCTCTGGTCTCTCTCTGGTCTCTCTGGTCTCTCTGGTCTCTCTCTGGTCTCTCTCTCTGGTCTCTCTCTCTGGTCTCTCTCTGGTCTCTCTCTGGTCTCTCTCTGGTCTCTCTCTGGTCTCTCTCTGGTCTCTCTCTGGTCTCTCTCTGGTCTCTCTCTCTGGTCTCTCTCTGGTCTCTCTCTGGTCTCTCTCTGGTCTCTCTCTGGTCTCTCTCTGGTCTCTTTCTGGTCTCTCTCTGGTCTCTCTCTGGTCTCTCTCTGGTCTCTCTCTCTGGTCTCTCTCTGGTCTCTCTCTGGTCTCTCTCTGGTCTCTCTCTGGTCTCTCTCTGGTCTCTCTCTGGTCTCTCTGTCTTGACAAAATCCTTTTTTTATTTTAAACATACTCCAAAGTAGAACTTAAGACATAGAACATTGAACATGAACAATAAGTCTGTAAAATACAATATAAAATCTATCTTTATCATAATAAAGAAGCTAGTATAAAATCTAGCGTTAGCATAATAATTATAAGTTGTGTATATTTGGTGGCGCTGGTCTCTTTGACAGACGGAATTTGGACTTCAGCGCCTCCTCTCATGGGTTTGTAAGTCTCTGGTCTCACACAGACACACACAGACACACACACACACACTCACAGACATACACAGACACACACACAGACTCAGGCCCTGCACCGTCAGCATCTCTGTTATGGAAATGAATGGGAGTGTGACAAGATATAGGGGGCAGGTCAGAGAGGGGAGTCCAGGAGCAAGGAACCAATTAGGGGAGAATTATGAGCAGCAGCAGCAGCAGCAGCAGGACGGAGGCATCGGCCGCCATCGCAGAGACACACACACTACACAATGCTGGAAACGTACAGAAAGAATGGTTTTGATACAATTACAAGATACAGCAGTTTTGTCACATATGTATGAATATATATTTGTTTATTTGCTTTGTCTGCTACATTACGACGTATAGAGTTTTAATTTCCCCAATAGCCACAATCACAACCACCCTCTTTTTATTAGTAAATGGGTAAATGTTTAGAAATGGGTTCAGGATGTAATTTATAATGATTTGATATGTCATGTGTTGTTTTTGGGGCCTTGTCTATAAACAAATGCAGCTTCCTGGGAGTTCCCTTTAAACAAAGCACCTTCAACTTTAGAAATTAGACTCCAAATGAGTTAAATAAATAATAAAAATAAATAATGTAATTAAAATGCCAGACTAGACAAAGCTTTTGACTTTTTAATATTGCCTTTTTTATTTGTCATGTTGTAGTTCCCAGAGCCGCCAGCAGGGGGCGCATGTGGCTGCGGGAGTTCAGGCCTTTTCCGGCACTTCACATGCTTTCCATTTTACAGAGTTTGTTTTCACTGTCACTAAAATTAACACTTCAATCTAATCTTAAACAAGTGACAAACGGAGCCTACATCACAGCACGACGTCTGATTCGGGAAAAAAACATGTTTTTGCAGAGTTTTTATTAGTTAGAAGTTATTTTAATAACTTCTATCTCATGAGAGATGCTTTAACAGTTAATTGGAAAAAGAAATGGTTTTAATCTTGTTTTTACTGCAAATAATTCACAATTTCCGTTTTTTTAATTTTTAAAGATGGTTTTTATTTGAGCTTCTTAAAATTGAGAATTTAACTTAATTTAAGTAATCTGCATTAATATAATTATTGTAAATTATCGATTTGTTAGAAAAGTCTATGAAGTGATGTATTGAACTCAAAATAAAGACTCATCTCAATTTGAGAGAATTAAAATAAAACCAATATTTCATTTCATTTTTCAGGTTTTTATATAAATTCAATTATTTTTACTTTTACTTAATTCAATGTAATTTTGTATTTTCCCTAAATCACAACCACAGTTATCTTAAAGGACTTATTAATAATGTTTGTTGTATCTTAATAATTCTCCAGCACAGATCAGAGAATCAAACTAGATACACTGCAAAAAATGATCAAATATGAAATACACATTCTGACGGTGGTAAAGATGAAGACTTTTAGTTTTATTTCTCTTCATTTCCTCATTCCAAAGGAGACATTAGTTTTTTTTTTTTTGTCCCATTGGAAAATCTACTCAGAATGTGCCCAAACTAAGAAACATTTTGCAGAATATGACTTTCTGCAAAAGTAGAAACAAAGAAACCATTAAATCTTAGATACATGTCATTATTGATTATTTCATTATAAGCGCCTGCGTCTCGAGCTCTGCTGTTGAGAAGCGTCTGCGTCTCGAGCTCTGCTGTGGAGAAGCGTCTGCATCTCGAGCTCTGCTGTGGAGAAGCGTCTGTGTCTCGAGCTCTGCTGTGGAGAAGCGTCTGCGTCTCGAGCTCTGCTGTTGAGAAGCGTCTGCGTCTCGAGCTCTGCTGTGGAGAAGCGTCTGCGTCTCGAGCTCTGCTGTGGAGAAGCGTCTGCGTCTCGAGCTCTGCTGTGGAGAAGCGTCTGCGTCTCGAGCTCTGCTGTGGAGAAGCGTCTGCGTCTCGAGCTCCGCTGCTGAGAAGCGTCTGCGTCTCAAGCTCTGCTGTGGAGAAGCGTCTGCGTCTCGAGCTCTGCTGTGGAGAAGCATCTGCGTCTCGAGCTCTGCTGTGGAGAAGCGTCTGCGTCTCGAGCTCCGCTGCTGAGAAGCGGCTGCGTCTCGAGCTCTGCTGTGGAGAAGCGTCTGCGTCTCGAGCTCTGCTGTGGAGAAGCGTCTGCGTCTCGAGCTCTGCTGTGGAGAAGCGTCTGCGTCTTGAGCTCCTCTGTGGAGAAGGGTCTGCGTCTCGAGCTCTGCTGTGGAGAAGCGTCTGCGTCTCGAGCTCTGCTGTGGAGAAGCGTCTGCATCTCGAGCTCTGCTGTGGAGAAGCGTCTGCATCTCGAGCTCCTCTGAAGGATCTCGTGGTTCGGAGACAAAGGCCAATTTCCTTTGGGCTTGTTTTCTTTTGTGAGGCTGCTCATTGGAGGATTGGAGCTGTCAATCAAAGCTCAGAGCAGAGTCCCGGCACAAGACAAAAGCATTTGGCCTTTTTCAGGATTAACCCTTTGAAGAATATGGGTCAAAAAACACATTTACTGCTAAATAAAACCAGGACGTTATAATAAACAACAACATCTGGAATAAATGTAGGTTTTATCAATAACAATAACAATAATAATGTTTGTTTCAAGCAAATAAGTAAGAAACCAAAGTAGAATATCAAAATGGTGCTTAATTAACCCTGAGTCACATTTACATAAAATTCTAAATATTATAAACACGAGAAACTTGAAAAGGAGAAGAAGAAAAAGGTTTATACAGATTTGTTTCCCATAAACTGATAATATTAATGTATAAAATATTAACATAATGAATGATGGAGACACAAGGAAAATAACATGTATGTACTAATTCAATTAAAAATTATTATATAAAAGTTATTTATACAGAGACGGAGCATCAGTTAAAACACACACCAGATATAAATACAATACAAATGTTATTATATTCATGAAACACATTATTTAACAATCCATTATATTATCATTATTTATTCATCTATATTAAGGACACAATATAATACAGTCCATAAATAACTAATTATACATTACATACAGAATGTTGCAGGAAAATAAACTATATTCCTAAAGACTTGTAGAGTATGAAGCCGGAGCTGCAGGGAGGCCACAGTTTGGAGGTAAACAGAGTTGGAACGGTTTTATTGGGTTAGAGTGTAGTAACATAAATGCACTGATGTCACATGTGTAGTGTGTGATGTCACATGTGTGTGATGTCACATGTGTATGATGTCACATGTGTGTGATGTCACATGTGTGATGTCACATGTGTATGATGTCACATGTGTGTGATGTCACATGTGTAGTGTGTGATGTCACATGTGTGTGATGTCACATGTGTAGTGTGTGATGTCACATGTGTAGTGTGTGATGTCACATGTGTTTTGTGTGATGTCACATGTGTAGTGTGTGATGTCACATGTGTAGTATGTGATGTCACATGTGTTTTGTGTGATGTCACATGTGTAGTGTGTGATGTCACATGTGTTTTGTGTGATGTCACATGTGTTTTGTGTGATGTCACATGTGTGTGATGTCACATGTGTTTTGTGTGATGTCACATGTGTTTTGTGTGATGTCACATGTGTGTGATGTCACATGTGTAGTGTGTGATGTCACATGTGTTTTGTGTGATGTCACATGTGTTTTGTGTGATGTCACATGTGTAGTGTGTGATAAATTGTTATTGTTGTGTTATTTCTGTTTTAACATATGATTTATATATTTGTACAGTATTAATATGATGCTTATGTAAATCTCTTAAAATCTTAAATCAATTGAACGAAATAATATTTGCCTTTCCCGCTCTTCTCCGCGGGGGGCCTCACTCTTTATAGATTAGCACTAAAATGCTAATCTCTTTAGCTCGGACTGAAGACCTGCGGAGGACTGGCCGAGCGTCACATCAAAGTAAAGACATTGTTCTGGAGCCAACAATGGCTGCCGTCACAGTCCAGGGCCCGGATACGGCGCCACGGTCCCCGTCTGCCGGACCGTGGACGAGCAAACACCAGATGCAAAACACAAGCGACGGAATCACTCTGTTCTCCCTTTAGTCTCTCTCTAGTCTCTCTCTGGTCTCTCTCTGGTCTCTCTCTCTGGTCTCTCGCTGGTCTCTCTCTGGTCTCTCTCTGGTCTATCTCTCTGGTCTCTCTCTGGTCTCTCTCTAGTCTCTCTCTGGTCTCTCTCTAGTCTCTCTCTGGTCTCTCTCTGGTCTCTCTCTCTGGTCTCTCTCTAGTCTCTCTCTGGTCTCTCTCTGGTCTCTCTCTATGGTCTCTCTCTCTGGTCTCTCTCTGGTCTCTCTCTCTGGCCTCTCTCTGGTCTCTCTCTGGTCTCTCTCTGGTCTCTCTCTCTAGTCTCTCTCTGGTCTCTCTCTCTGGTCTCTCTCTGGTCTCTCTCTGGTCTCTCTCTGGTCTATCTCTCTGGTCTCTCTCTAGTCTCTCTCTGGTCTCTCTCTGGTCTCTCTCTCTGGTCTCTCTCTCTGGTCTCTCTCTCTGGTCTCTCTCTCTCTGGTCTCTCTCTGGTCTCTCTCTCTGGCCTCTCTCTCTCTGGTCTCTCTCTGGTCTCTCTCTCTGGTCTCTCTCTCTGGTCTCTCTCTGGTCTCTCTCTCTGGTCTCTCTCTCTCTGGTCTCTCTCTGGTCTCTCTCTCTGGCCTCTCTCTCTCTGGTCTCTCTCTGGTCTCTCTCTGGTCTCTCTCTGGTCTCTCTCTCTGGTCTCTCTCTGGTCTCTCTCTGGTCTCTCTCTCGTCTCTCTCTGGTCTCTCTCTGGTCTCTCTCTCTGGTCTCTCTCTGGTCTCTCTCTCTGGTCTCTCTCTCTGGTCTCTTCTCTGGTCTCTCTCTGGTCTCTCTCTCTGGTCTCTCTCTGGTCTCTCTCTGGTCTCTCTCTCTCTGGTCTCTCTCTCGGGTCTCTCTCTGGTCTCTCTCTGGTCTCTCTCTGGTCTCTCTCTGGTCTCTCTCTCTGGTCTCTCTCTGGTCTCTCTCTGGTCTCTCTCTCTGGTCTCTCTCTGGTCTCTCTCTGGTCTCTCTCTCTGGTCTCTCTCTCTGGTCTCTCTCTGGTCTCTCTCTGGTCTCTCTCTCTGGTCTCTCTCTGGTCTCTCTCTCTGGTCTCTTTCTGGTCTCTCTCTGGTCTCTCTCTCTGGTCTCTCTCTGGTCTCTTTCTGGTCTCTCTCTGGTCTCTCTCTCTGGTCTCTCTCTCTGGTCTCTCTCTGGTCTCTCTCTGGTCTCTCTCTGGTCTCTCTCTGGTCTCTCTCTCTGGTCTCTCTCTGGTCTCTCTCTGGTCTCTCTCTCTGGTCTCTCTCTGGTCTCTCTCTCTGGTCTCTTTCTGGTCTCTCTCTGGTCTCTCTCTCTGGTCTCTCTCTGGTCTCTTTCTGGTCTCTCTCTGGTCTCTCTCTCTGGTCTCTCTCTCTGGTCTCTCTCTGGTCTCTCTCTGGTCTCTCTCTGGTCTCTCTCTCTGGCCTCTCTCTGGTCTCTCTCTGGTCTCTCTCTGGTCTCTCTCTCTAGTCTCTCTCTGGTCTCTCTCTGGTCTCTCTCTCTGGTCTCTCTCTGGTCTCTCTCTCTGGTCTCTCTCTGGTCTCTCTCTGGTCTCTCTCTGGTCTCTCTCTCTGGTCTCTTTCTGGTCTCTCTCTGGTCTCTCTCTCTGGTCTCTCTCTGGTCTCTCTCTGGTCTCTCTGGTCTCTCTCTGGTCTCTCTCTCTGGTCTCTCTCTGGTCTCTCTCTCTGGTCTCTTTCTGGTCTCTCTCTCTGGTCTCTCTCTGGTCTCTTTCTGGTCTCTCTCTGGTCTCTCTCTCTGGTCTCTCTCTCTGGTCTCTCTCTGGTCTCTCTCTGGTCTCTCTCTGGTCTCTCTCTGGTCTCTCTCTCTGGTCTCTCTCTCTGGTCTCTCTCTCTGGTCTCTCTCTGGTCTCTCTCTGGTCTCTCTCTGGTCTCTCTCTGGTCTCTCTCTCTGGTCTCTCTCTCTGGTCTCTCTCTGGTCTCTCTCTGGTCTCTCTCTGGTCTCTCTCTGGTCTCTCTCTCTGGTCTCTCTCTGGTCTCTTTCTGGTCTCTCTCTGGTCTCTCTCTGGTCTCTCTCTCTGGTCTCTCTCTCTGGTCTCTCTCTGGTCTCTCTCTGGTCTCTCTCTGGTCTCTCTCTGGTCTCTCTCTGGTCTCCCTCCGGTCTCTCAGTGCAGTGAAATGTGATTGGTTTAGAGCAGGGTGTCCAAACTTTTTATTAAGAGGGCCACAGACTTGTCCAGGGCCCGACATCACGGACTAAAAAACTGTCTTTTGCTTTAGTTTAGTTTATTTTAGGACAAAGTGCAGTTTCGTTAAAAAGATGCTGCTCCAGATTTAGCTCCAGCCTCTTTCCATTTGTGGTTTTTAATACAATTATAACTTTATCATAATATACAGTTCAAATGAAAAGTGCAGGTTACTTAAAAACATTAAAACACAGTTAAATAATAAAGTCACAGTTAGCAGCGAAATGTAAAGTTTCACCATTCTCAGACTAAAAATAACAATAATAAGTATATTTACCTTTTTCCAGGAGTTTTGTAAAGTTCTCCATTTGTGAGATCAATAAAGTTATTATCGTATTTACAAAGGCTGCGTTTGTGTTAGTTTCCTTTTTTCACAGACTTTTCTTCTGTAGAAATGTATGTTTTGTGAGTTTCCCAAAAACAAGAAGTTCAATATAATAATGTGCAGAGCAGAGGCGACTGTGAGGTTCCTGTGAGGAAAACCTCTTTTGGTCAAAATGTCCTGTCCTATAAAGGCAGTGTCCAGTGGAACAAACTTCCAACCACTGTGAGGGAGGCAATCAGCTTCAAATCATTTAAAAATCACTTAAAGGAATGGCTCAGATCAACACAAACCTGTCAACATAACCGATAACATTTTATGTGAAACGTACCTTAGGGCACCACAGCATTTTAGATAGGTATTTTAAAGAGAAAAAAAACAAAACAAAAAAAAAACGTAATGAAATTTTAGATTTTTATAAATCCGTAGCAATTAATGAATTAAGTCTTCCCCTGGGTTTGTGGAAGTGAACCGCCTTCGCTCCCAGTTTCTGCCTCACCCTTCCCTGTCCTCCCTGTCCTCCCTGTCCTCCCTGTCCTCCCTGTCCTCCCTGTCCTCCCTGTCCTTCCCTGTCCTCCCTGTCCTCCCTGTCCTCTGTCGTGTCCAGTCTTTTGTCATTGTATTTGTCTGAGATCCCTAATGTTCTTTGTACAGTATATTTGAATGTGTATCTTGTGGTCCCATTGTTCCTTGTCCTGCAGTCGTTCTGTTCCTGTACTGTCTTGTGACTTTCTTTTGTGTCATTGTTAAATGTTCAATGTTCAAAT